GATAAAAACGTAGAAATGCTTGCTGTGGTGAATTGGGTATCAGGCCTCTGAGGGCCGTACTGAGATGATGAGTGCTGCGAAACATCCCTTGACACGCTGGGACCTAATGAAATTGTACTTGGGTCCATAATTAAGTTGTATGATGGTGACTGACGAGAGTTTCCGCTGCTTGCTGTTATCCTAATAAAAAGTAAACATAAAAAGTTAGTGCTGAAAAAAATTCATAAAGATACTGAAAACTGTACATAAGTTTTGTAAAAAAATATTGAAAAATAAGGCACGAAAAACGTTCCTCATATCTTTTACACAACCATATTCAGCTACAAGTAAAAAAGAAAGAACTTCTAATAAGTTTTTTCTATAACCTTGCTAATTTCGGTGGCTGAAGATTCGAATTTGCAGAAATGGAAGCTCTCCCAGGACCAGAATTAACTCTTTGGGAAATAAGCGATGGACTCGAGAGGGGGTGCGCTCCACTAATAACTTTCTTAGGGCCTCCAGGACGGCCGTGATGTACCAAAGTTTGCACAGCAGCGGAAGAAGGACGAATAGAAGATACTGAAGCACTAGTGACCCTCCGTAAACCATCTAGTCAAAGTACCGCAAGAGGTAATATGAAATTTAAACAAAAAAAAAGAGGTCTCTTGAAAGGTTAATGAAAAACCATGATGAATGACTAACGTCAACGTTAAAGATTACCGGAAGAAATTCCACTGTAGCCCCGTTCAGCCATTTGCGGATTATGGTTCTTTGCCCTTGAATCAAAAACTCTGCTAGAAAGCAAACAGGAAAAAGTTCAAAAAATTTAATTATTGTGATAAGAACAACCACTCAAAAAGTTTATTTCGAGCTAGAAAATACAGTGACCTTCTTCTTCCATCTCTCCCATCGAAAGAACCTTCCCGGAAAGGTCTTACTCGAGCACATGTAAAAGTGTCCTTCACCCTTATGCGTGATCTCTTCTGCGAGGGTAAGGAATTTGAAGCTACAAGTTGGACTGGACTAGAAGCAACTTTCACGTTACTGTCACTGAAAAAATTGTCATTTACAAAAGAAAGCCAGTTTCAAAACGAAATGTGTGAGAAATCACATCCAACCTTTATTGTTTATCAACCCACTACGAACACCAAAACTTCTTCAGTCGACCCCTCAATGTCTGACAAATAATAGAACCTTGTCTAAAGTAAGAGACACTAATAAACCTGCCAAAAGCAATTATCTCTTTGACAAATTCCAAGCCATCCAAGCAGCGGTTATGAAAATGGCGATACTGCCATCTTCGAGGCGATACAAGTCGCTGAAGAGGTGACGAAAGCCACTGATGCACAGAAGAAATGATGCCGCTCGTCAAGACATCTGTGAAGGTCAAGTAGCCTAAGTCTCAAAGATGCGGCAAACTGTGAGGATATCTTGATAAAAGCATTCGGTACAGATTCTTGAAAAATCGTTTTTTTTCTTTTTTTTTTTTTTGCTAGAATTTTGGTAATTACGCGCTGCTATATGAATGACCTCCACTTGTTCCCAGCTTAATGAAGCTGAGAGCAAATGTGAAAGTATCTAGTGACGGTAGGGTGAAGAGAGGAGTGCAGGGCGGTTTACTAGGGAGATGACGCCAAGGCTGCTATTCTAAAAAGAGAAAGCAAAAAAAAAAAAAGTAAGGAAAATTGCCCTAAAGTATCAGATTTCCTTATCTGCAGACACCTTAGAAGTCTATCATTAAAGTAATATTTTCAAGAAGAAAGGAACTTTTAAACTCGGTTACCTCTATTCCAAAAATTTATTCCTAATTATATTTTCGAAAATACTTGAAAATACAAACTTTGAAAAAATTTTACAAAGAAATATAAGACAAATTAATTTTTTCATTATACATTATTTTTTACGCAACTTCCAGCAGTCTTATACTTCAGTTTTAAAATTGACTGAACTCATAATTTCACCAAAATACATCGCAACTTCCTATTCCATCTCAGTCAACCGGCTGTAACCCTAAATTCCGCAAAATCTGACGCATCTGATGCTGCAAAACTATATCAATGTCTATATTTTTCTTGAATTTTCGTTATTATTTGTCCTAATTAATAAAATTTCACAGTTCCAACAGCAGATGAACGAGGCCATCACACGAGACCGAAGTCGCATCCCCTCAAAAAATATACTTAAATAAGAGGCTTCCTATAGTAAACCAGGTAGAACTAAGATGTAGAATTTTTTTAACTTCAGTTGCTCATAGCTTGAAGAAGAAGCAGCTGTTATAGTCAAATTTTTCTTCAGTCCCGGAATTGACTGCATTATCAACTAAAATTTTAAGGAAGAATTGAGGAGTCAACTGGAACTTCTGCGACTTCAC